ACACTTCTAATGTTTTCTCTCTCTGTTAATGCTGCTTTTAAAGGGGCTCAAGGTAAGACTAGACCAATCACACCTCATTGTACCTGATACGATTTTTTTAAAATATATACAGTATATAAACTTTTTACAAAGGTTTCACTCAAACGTTCTCACAAACTTTCACATATAGAACTGACTCAGTATATTTTGTATTTGCTTACATGTTACAGTGAAACCTGAAGTGAAACAGAATCATCCCAGATGTCTGGTGTCCTTTTCACCTGCTCACTGTCTGACCTTATTACTGCTGTAAGACTGATTAAGTGGCTGTGTTTTTTGTCTTTGGGCACAGACCCCCAGTGAGCAGGGCACCACCAATGCCAGAGAAACTGCAGACCAACAACGTGGGCAAGAAAAAGAGACCCATTGAGGTGAGTGATGGGCAGATCAGAATACGAATATATGTTTTTATTTTTTAAAGCTATGTGTAATCAGAACAAACATGCATCATCCATTCTTTCCTTTCATTTTCTGCCCTGTCTTGTCCTTATTCCTCCCTGTATCCTATCCTGTCCTCATTGGTTAGATGATCTTTCTAGCTTCTCTTGATTGAACTGCAGCACAGTTTCTCTGTTCATGTCCATGAGCCAGATACTCTCTGCTGTTGTCATGGATATGACCTCAGACACCCCTCTTTGACTCTCTCTGCAGGACCTGGTGCTCGAACTGGTGTTTGGTTATCGAGGCAACGACTGCCGTAACAATGTGCATTACCTTAATGAGGGGGCGGACATCATTTACCACACTGCCTCAGTAGGGGTCGTCTTAAACTTAACAACAGGTGCTGAGAAAACCCATAGGTGCCTGCCATATGTAATGCATGTTTAATACATTTTAATGTGCCTGAGTGGGCGAAAGCAGCAAGAGCAGATTAGATATGGATTTTATTCATCGAGTTCTTATAGGCATGAAGACATGACAAAAAAAATGTTGTGGAGCATCATTGTTTTTTTTTTCTGTTTGTTATCCTTCAGCCTGTCAGAGTTTCTATTTGGAACACAGTGATGATATTCTGTGCCTGACTATTAATCAGCACCCAAAGTTCCCCAACGTAGTGGCAACTGGCCAAGTAGGTATGTTTGTAAAAACATTCACCCTTTTCTTCTCACTTTGACTGCCCAGGGATTAACTTTGTCCCAGATGTTTCTCCTAAAATTCAACAAATGAGACAGTGACATACAGTTAGAGTTATAAAATTAACATGGATAGCATAACTTAGAGACGTTGGTCTTTGGAGAATTTGATGAGGACAAATGGTCACAATGAAATAGAGTTCGATTTTTGATCGCAGAGTCTGATTCTGTATTTTGGCAAATCTGGATGTCTAAAACTGAAAGGAAACATATGAGATTTCTTAAATCCCCCCCC